GCAACAGAATGAGATACTGTCCCCCTACCAAAAAAATAGAGTAACTGTAACAATATATAATAAGAATTACATAATGTGGTCTCTCTCTCAAAATCTTATTGTACTGTACTCACCCTTCTTATGATGATGTGAGATGATGAAATGCCTATGTGATGAGATGGAAGTGAGGCTGATGACACAGACATTGTGATGCAGCATTAGGCTACTACTGAAAACTAATTTAATACTTATGAATTATTTCTGGAACTTTCCATATAGTATTTTCAGACAACAGCTGACCACAGGTAACTGAAACTACAGGAAGCAAAACCAAGGATAATGGGGGACTGCTATAAAGATGAGAGGAATAAAATAAAACAAATCTACCTTCCAGATAATGAATTCTATATAGAAACCCCCAAAAATGTATAAAAATGAACACGTTATTCAAATTTCACAATGATCTGCATTAAATCAATATGTAAATATCAATTACATATACAAGAAACAGAAAATGTACTAACATGGAAAATACTATTCACAGGCCAGGCGTGGTGGCTCACACCTGTAATCCCAGCACTTTGGGAGGTTGAGGCAGGCATATCACTGGAGGTCAAGAGTTCGAGACCAGCCTGGCCAAAATGGCAAAACCCCATCTCTACAAAAAATACAAAAAAAATTAGCCAGGTACGATGGTGCACACCGGTAGTCCCAGGTACTTGGGAGGCTGAGGCAGAAGAATTCCTTGAACCCGGGAGGCAGAGGTTGCAGTGAGCTGAGATCACACCACTGCATTCCAGCCTGGGTGACAGAGTGAGACTCTGTCCCCTGGCCCGCAAAAAGAAGAAAGAAAATACTATTTACAAAGGCATCAAAAAATGTAAGACAGCTGGAGATAAATCTAACAAAAAATGAGCAAGACTCGTATCCAGAAAATTCTAAAACTCTATTAAAAGAATACACTAGGCCGGGTGCAGTGGCTCAAACCTGTAATCCCAGCACTTCAGGAGGCCGAGGTGGGCAGAACATGAGGTCAGGAGTTCGAGACCAGCCTGACCAACATAGAGAACGTCCCATCTCAACTAAAAATACACAATTAGCCAGGTGTGGTGGCACATGCCTGTAATCCCAGCTACTCAGGAGGCTGAGGCAGAAGAATTGCTTGAACCCAGGGGGCAGAGGTTGCAGTGAGCTGAGATCGGACCTTGGGCAACAAGAGCAAAACCCCGGCAAAAATAAAAAATACACTAAAGAAAGGACAAGATGGCCAGGCACGGTGGCTCAAGCCTGTAATACCAACACTTTCAAAGGCTACGGTAGGCAGATGACAAGGTCAAGACCAGCCGGGCCTACATGGTGAAACCCCATTTCTACTAAGAATACAAAAATTAGCCGAGCATGGTGGCGGGCGCCAGTCTGAGGCAGGGGAATCATTTGAACTCAGGAAGCGGAGAGTGCAGTGCGCCGAGACCACACCACTGCACTCCAGTGCAGCGACACAGCGAGGCTCCATCCCCCAAAAAAATAAAGTCAATATAATCTTACTTCGTTTATCGTCTCCCTGGGTGAAAAAACTTCCCTGGATTTCTAAGCACTACTGCAAAAAGTCCTAGCCTTCTAATATACAAAAATGTGTATGATATAAAGATAAGGGAATGTTTAATTTCATATCCCCCCAAATATTTTACTCTTCGCATACCTTAAGATTTAGATCTGTAGCCATTTATCTAGTTAATTGCTCTGCTCCCCAATAATAAAACTTATTTTATCTACCTGACAGCATCAAGTGGGGTAGATTAAGAGATTACAGCAAAGAGAGGTTCCTAGGTTAAGTCCAGAGGTGCCAAGAAGACTATGGAGATCTCCCTAGGTATTTACATTTCAGTACGGAATGAGTTCCCAGGAATTTGGAAATATCTCTTGGTCCAAGAGGGCTAAACAAATGGCTCCTGAAGAGATTTTATTTATATACCAAAGAGTTGTTAATATTCGTAACATTTCAAAGAGACACATTCAGCATAGGAGGGAAGAGCTGTCTCTTCCCCCTTTATAAGCAAAGAGAAAGTATTTGTGCCCATCTCTTACCTATGAAGTATGCAGTTACTCAGGACAAGCGGCTTAGGCCTGCATGCCCTAGGGAGTCAAGGACTAGGGCAAAGGAGCGCCAATACATTTTTACTCACTGTGGGGTATTCACAAAATCTGTCTCCGATTCAGAAAACCTTGTGTGCATATCCTGGACAAAATTTAAAATATCAGTATTCCTCAATGCACTGCTCATTATCAAGAGAACTATGAATAAAGGAGCTATAGCTGGAATAATCCCAGTGAGGCCTGCTGGAAAAGGGATAGCTACACAAAATTCCTAGGTACATTAGATTCTGGGAGTGTATCCTTGTGGAATGCTAGCAACCTTTAAGATCTAGGATTTTACTTTACTTCTTGATTCTAGAAAAGACCCAGTATTCCATGAACATAATGTAATACTTGGTCAGGTGAGGAACGAAATGCCATCTTTTCTCTCCTGATCCTCACTATCGGTAACTGAAAAGATACTGTAATTTTCTGATAAACCCCTCATTGTCCGAATTCTCAAGTCACTCTCTGAAACACAAGAACCAAATAGATTTGAATAACTTGGTATCTCTCCATATCCAAACCTACTATCTCAACTTTCATTTTCTGAACTCGGGATCTGAAGAGATTTTGATCATGAGGAATGCTTGCATTGTAGTCAGGCTTTCAGAGGAAAACAAGCAATGTAATATAAACATAAAATTATGTTCACATGCAGTGAGAAAGTAAGAAGAAAGGGCCAGATACGGTGGCTCACCCAACACTTTGAGAGGCCGAGGCGGGTGGATCACTTGAGGTCAGTCAGGAGTTTGAGACCAGCCTGGGCAACATAAAACCCCATCTCTACTAAAAATACAAAAATTAGCTGGGTGTCACGGCGCATGCCTCTAATTCCAGCTACTGAAGAAGCTGAGGCAGGAGAATCGTTTGAACCCGGAAGGTGGAGGTTGCAGTGAGCTGAGATTGCACCACTGCATTCCAGTCTGGGTGACAGAGGCAGACTCTGTCTCAAAAAAAAAAAAAAAAAAAGACAGTGAAAGAGAGAGAGAGAAAGAGAGAGAGTGTGTGTGTGTGTTTTCATTCTAGGACATTTAATTGACAGGTTTCTAGCCTGTAAGTCAGACTCGTAAGAGTTTTATAACTCTGCCTGTAAGTTTTATGTGCAATCTGACTATCCCATTTATAAACAAGAGACTGATAAAGCACATATACATGAAAATAATTAAATTCGACATAGCCATTAAACATGAAGCTGCAGGTTCTGAAACTCAAAGATATTTGACTGCCATTCGACTACCTGGAAACTGAGGCTCAACAAAGTGAGAAGTAAAAAGTCAACTGTCCTAAAACTTGTATTAAATGGCACACCTGTGCAAAAAAGTTGTATCCCTCTTTCCTGGAACTTTCGAACAACATTTAGCAAGACAGAAACCTTGTAACAGCCACTTCCATTCTCTACAACCACCTCCTCACCTTCAGCTAAACCACACATATTGGCATCACATTCATTTTCCACTCACTGCTCAACCCATCACAATCTGATGTTTGACCCAATCCCTCTCCTCAAACTAGATACACTTCAGTATTAAAATTGGACCCTACCTCAAAAATATCCCATAAATCAGTCTCTTTTTATATCATTATCTTTCTTATCCAACCCACCATCACCTTCTAATCTAATAGTTTCTATCTCATCTCTCCCCTCTCCAATTTGTTCTCTACAGAGTAATTAACGTAATTATTCAAAACAGATCTTATGTTGCATACACTTTCAAAGTTTCAATGCACGCCCTTGAAAAGCCTTCAAAATCTGCTGCTCTTAGGATCAAATCCAAATTTCCAAACACTTGAACACTGCCTGAATGACGCTGTATGACACAGGTCCCTACTACTTTCCCCCAACTACTCTAGTGTTCATTTATCTCTTCAACCTCACCGTGTTTGTTTTTCTTGGATTTTCAAATATGCCCCTGTCTCTACTGGAACAAACCACAGCTATCTGAATAACTCTATCACTCTATAACAGGAGAAAACAGAAACTCTGTCTCTTTCTTTACTGAACTATATTATATACCCTGCGTAAGAAAATGATACTCAAAAAATATATGGTGATGATCACATTCCTTCTTCTTGAGATGGAGTTTCAGTCGCCCAGTCTGGAGTGCAATGGCGGCGACCTCGGCTCACCACAACCGTTGCCACCTGGGTTCAAGTGATTCTCCTGCCTCAGCCTCCTGAGTAGCTGAAACTACATCACACCGAGATAATTTTGTATTTTTAGTAGAGACAGGGTTTCTCCATGTTGTTCAGGATGGTCTCGATCTCCTGATCTCGTGATCTGCCCGCCTCGGCCTCCCAAAGTGCTGGGATTACAGGCATGAGCCACCGCGCCCGGCCTGATAATCACATTCTTAATCACAAAGTAGACATTCCATGGGGGCCAGACACGGTGGCTCACGCCAGTAATTCCAGCACTTTGGGAGGCTAAGGCGGGCAGATCACGAGGTCAGGAGATTGAGACCATCCTGGACAACACGGTGAAACCCCGTCTTTACCAAAAATACAAAAATTAGCTGGGTGTGGTGACGTGCACCTGTAATCCCAGCTACTCGGGAGACTGAGGCAGGAGAATTGCTTGAACCCAGGAAGGCAGAGATTACAGTGAGCTGAGATCACCCCATGTACTCCAGCCTGGTGAGACAGCGAGACTGTCTCAAAAAAAAGATATTCCATGGGAGAGACTGGTTTGCATAAGCTCTGACACCATGGCCCAAAGAAAAGAATACCAGAAGCCACAGTAAAACACTGTTAATTAAACAGTAGCAACAGACAGACACCTCATGGTACTTTCAGAGGCAAAAATAAACTGAAACACTAATATGATCATACATGAATATGCATATTTGTAAGAAAGAATGAGAAACATCAAAAAACCTTTCACTCACAAGTTTTTCTCTGTCTAGTTTTTGCAGTAAACTCTCCATGTTACTTCCAATTCTTGTCTTTTCTACAACTTCATAAAGGCTGCAATACATTCCATTCTTCAAAACTGACATAAGAAAAATACATAGTAAATATCCAAATCAAGTCTACTTCTAATGCATTTCAATAAAATTAAATTACCTTACCTTCATTTGGACCTAAGTATGTTTCCTTATAAAACAGTGCTGGAGGGATTTTCTGTTTCAGATGATCAATACTCATAACTGTTTCAACATCTAACTTCTCAGGTCTGAAAGAAAATTTAAAAAGCATGTTTGCCTTATCTGTATTTTCAACTCTAGCAATCTTAACACATACACAAAAAAGTATACTTGATGGAAAAAAAAAGAGCGTATCTACTAACATCTTACCTTAAAGATCTTTTGTTTTGTTTGTGACAGTCTCACTCTGTCACCTAGGCTGGACTGCAGTAGTGCGATCATAGCTCACTGCAGCTTCAACCTCCTAGGATCAAGTGATCCTCCCACCTCAACCTCTGGAAAGTAGCTGGGACTACAGGCATGTGCCACCAAGCAAGAGTAATTTTGTTTTTTTTGGGGGGGTCTTTTTGTAGAGACAAAGTCTCCTTACGTTGCTCAGGCTGGTCTCAAATTCCCGGTCTCAAGTGATCCTCCCACCTCAGCCTCCCAAAGTGTTGGGATTACAGGAGTGAGAAACTATGCCCAGCAGTAAAGGGGATTTGATACTGGAAGTCCAGATATATACATGGGTAGATAGCTAGCCAGGCAGTATTTCCAACCTTCCATCCTTAAGCCAGAAACTAAAAGGCTGTCATTTTATTAAGGACAACTGAAGTATAAACTCTTAATCTTCACACGTTCATGAAGCCTCACAATGATGGAAGCAAAAGATTTTAGACCTTTCTATACCAACATGTGCTGCATAGGACTGAAAACAGCCTGTATATTTCAACTCACCAAGTCAAAGCTCTTCCCAACAAAGAACGGGTAACTTTTAAGTCTACTATATTCAAAATGCTAAATAAAAAATATGTATCTACTACTTAGGATAAAACTAAAAAATTATATTTTAGATTTAAATCACTAAGAAAAAGTTTTAGGCCGGGCACGGTGGCTTACACCTGTAATCCCAATACTTTGTGAGGCCGAGGCGGGAAGATCACCTGAGGTCAGGAGTTTAGACCAGCCTGGCTAACATGGCAAAGCCCCATCTCTACTAAAAATACAAAAAAAAAAAAAAAAAAAAAATTAGCTGGGCATGGTGGCAGGAGCCTGTAATCCCAGCTATTCAGGAGGCTGAGATGGGAGAATCACTTGAACCCAGGAGGTGAAGGTCGCAGTGAGCTGATATTGCGCCACTGCACTCCAGATTGAGAGACAAGAGCGAAACTCCATCTCAAAATAAAAAAAAAAGATAAAGAAAAAATTTTATGCCATAAATGTACTGACTAGCCTATCCTCAAATCAAGACAGAGAGGTAGAGGACTCATATTGCCAAATGACCTAATTCCAAATCAACCTTTTAAAAAACAAACCAACATTTATATAGAAGTTATGAACCAAAATAAAATTTAAATATGAAAAAGAAATAAGGAAAAAGGCTCAAGAAAGTGATAAAATTAGCAACCACGAACTGCTCTTTACTTATACTTACAGTTTGATAGGCAAAAAAGCACGAGTGGCTGACCTCAGAGAAATATAACACAAAAGTTTTCCTTTATTTAAAAGCTGTCCTTTCCACAAGGTATAGTTATATTTATCTAAATAAAAAGAATATAATGACGCAGCTTAGTCACTTGACAGCCCAGAGGAGTGCACATTTATTAGAAATGAGAGGGAAAATATCTGAAACAAGGTTTAAGTAGGAGGGGAAAAAAAAAAAGTGATACTCCTACACTTCTATTTACTAAGAGTTCAAATATTAGCATTTTTTGTTTCAGGTATTTATCCCCTGGCAAAATCATTCCAGTTGCAAAGAATAACAAATGTATCTGTCTAAATGTCATTATCAGAAAAGCTGTGGAGCAAAGACAATTATTCATCTCTTATTTCCTCCAAAGGGACACTGTATTAGATCTGGTTGATTATATGAATGCCTACAATGTCCTGTATCTTCTACTCATTGTCTTTTCATTATAAAGAAACTTTAAAATAGGCTGGGCACGGTGGCTCACACCTGTAACCCCAGCACTTTGAGAAGTCGAGGCGGGTGGATCATTTAAGGTCAGGAGTTCGAGACCAGCCTGGCCAACATGGTGAAACCCCGTCTCTACTAAAAATACAAAAAATTAGCCGGGTGTGGTGGCGGCTGTAATCCTAGCTACTCAGGAGGAGGCTGAGGCTGGAGAGTCACTTGAACCCAGGAGGCAGAGGTTGCAGTGAGCCGAGATCATGCCACCACACTCCAGCCTGGACAAGAGTAAGACTGTCTCAGGAAAAAAAAAAAAAAGAAGAAACTTTAAAATAGTTTAACATCAATGCTACTTTCAATCTTCTCTACTTCTCTTCTAAATCCTGTACCTTTGGTGAATTTAATATTTTTAAAAAGCTGAGTTATGAAACATGTTTTATTTTTTATCTTTCTCAATTAAAGTGCTAAAACCTTTTGCTCTATTCACAGCAGCAGATTTTCAAAGGGGATCTTATGCTTGGACAACCAAATGCTGATGCTACATTACAACTTTTCTCATACTTTGCAGATTTTCATTCATTATAAAAATAATACAAAGCACTTAATCTTTTGCTATATGTACTTATTCTTTCCATTTATAAAACTAAAGAAACATAAATCTCTTACCTATGTTTCTATCTGCATTAAAGCTGTTAGATCTACAAATTTTTTAAAAGGAAAGAAAAAATTACTCATTAGTATAATCATAAAAATTAACATATAAGACTTTGATATAAGTGCAATGTTTAATGGCATACTACAGTTAAGTCCTTCCTCCAGGTAGGAAGAACAAAGAAACTACTCATTACAAAATCTAGTAAATCCAAGTCTACTTAGAGAAAACAGAAGTACTTACTTTGCTCATTTTACCACATTTACCCAAATTTAAAGGAGCTGTTTTTTCCAAAAATATTAATCAAGAGAGAACAGGGTCCACCAAAGTCTCTTGTCAATTATTTTGGTGACATTAGAAGACATAGCCTCAATACATAAATACATTAATTCATCATTCAATAAATATGTACTAAACTCTTATTATTTACCAGGCAGGCACAGTTCTAGGTAATAATATTTAACAAAGTTCCAACGTACATAAATCTAATGAGGAAGACAGAAAACAATGTTATGTAACAGATCATGATGGTTTTAAGTGCTATAGAAAGAGATATTAAGAGTATAGAGGTAAAAAAAAACACACACACACACACAGAGAAACCTCAATGATAAGGAGATACCTGAAGAAATGCAGAATGAATTATGCAGCTTACTGGGGAAAGAGAGAGAACAGCAAATGCAGAGGCCCTGAAGCAGGAGCATTCATGGAATATTCAAGGTACAAGGATGGATGTTCAATCAATGCTCCTTTGAAATGATATGGAGGTCAAGAGATGGAATCAAAGAGGAGGCAAAGAAATTAATAGTCATTATTCCTGGGGGCATGACCTCATAATTATAAGTGCTAGATGTCTTTTAAAGACTACTTATGAAAAATACTATAGTGAGGTATATATCAGAGTGATCATAAATTTAGAGCCACAAAAATTGAAAGCCACAACTGTCTTGATACTATGTCAATTGGTACCCGTGGCTACAGATGGTTTTCAAGGATTATTCACCTACATGAATAAAGAACCGTAAATGGGAGAGAAGATAATTTGATCTGGAAAACTGACAAAGAGGTCAACCTCAAAAATGTACATATATGTTTCATGATATATGGTTTTAAAACAGTAGTATTTCTAAATTAATTAATAGATATCATACATGACTTCAACTATGTATAGACACCCAAAGTAAAAATGAGCAGACATTTGACCATCTCACCTACATTCCTATAAACTTACTTACTCCATTTGGCTAAAACATTTTTAGAATCACCACATGGGGAAAAAATGGTAACTGCTTCCTATTTGGTCACCTTATCCTAGAGCTTGTAGGAAATATTCAATAACACAAGAACAGAAAACCAAAAAAAAAAAAAGAAATCATCAGGCCAGGTGTGACAGCCCACGCCTATAATCCCAGTGCTTTGGAATACCAAGGCAGGGGAACTGCTTGAGGCTAGGAGTGAGTTTGAGACCAGCCTGGGCAACACAGCAAGACCCATTTCCACGAAAATTAAAAATAAACCAGACGTGATGGTGCACGCCTGTAGTTCTGGCTACTTGGGAAGATGGCTTGCACGCAGCAGTTTGAGGCTGCAGCAAGCTATGATCGCACCACTTTACTCACTCCAGCCTGGGCAATAGAGCAAGATTTTGTCTCTAAAGAGAAAAAAAAAAGAAACCAATGGTCCTCAACACTGGCTGAAAATCAGAATCACCTGGAAGTTTTTAAAAACTATCAATGCCTTGACTGCCCACTAAATATTTGATTGGTTTGTGGTGAGGCATGAGCATCCTTTGTAGAAGCTCCCCATTTCCAAGAGTGCTAACACACAAAATCTCACTTTTTTTAAAAAAATACAGACAGAGTCTGACTCTGTCGCCCAGGCTGTAGTACAGTGGTGCGATCTCGGCTCACTACCAACCTCCGCCACTCAGGTTCAAGCAATTCTCTTGCCTCAGCTTCCCAAGTAGCTAGGACTACAGGCGCGCACCACCACATCTGGCTAAGTTTTTTGTAGTTTTAGTAAAGACACGGTTTTACCATGTTGGACAGGCTGTTCTTGAACACCTGACCTCAGGTGAGCCACCCACCTCGGCCTCCCAAAGTGCTGGGATTACAGGCGTGAGCCACTGCGCCCGGCCAAAATCTCACTTTTTAAAACTGCCACTTACTGGCCAGGCATGGTGGCTCACGCCTGTAATCCCAGCACTTTGGGAGGCCAAGGTGGGTGGATCATGAGGTCAGGAGATGGAGACCATCCTGGCTAACACGGTGAAACCCTGTCTCTACTAAAAATATAAAAAAATTAGCCGGGCATGGTGGTGTGCACCTGTAGTCCCAGATACTCGGGAGGCTGAGGCAGAATGGCATGAACCCGGGAGGCGGAGCTTGCAGTGAGCCAGATTGTGCCACTGCACTCCAGCCTGGCGGAGAGAGTGAGACTCTGTCTCAAACAAACAAAAAAAACCTGCCACTTACTCAACTACACAAACCTTCATTTCTAAGGAAGAGATTAACCAGATGAGGTTTAAATTTTAGCTTGTATTTATTTCCACATGGTAAACTAACTGTTCTTCACACTGACCATTTAAAAGTCATCGTAAACACTTCAGTCTCCAACTAACTTCAAGGGAAGTTAAAAAAAAAAAAAAAAATGGGAAAGAAACAAAATGGTCCTCCTAACTCAGCAGTGCAGGATCTGTAGTAGAGTATCACTGTGGATGATGTCTAAAACTCCTAAGTCTTACCTTGATGAAGGTACAAACTTCGGAGTTTGTATATCATCTTTGTAAGTAAAAGACACAACTGCATATGGACAAACGTGTCTTGGTCTTCGCCTTAGCTCATCAAAGCCATACTCATAAAAATAATACTAAAAATAAGAAAATGCAAAATTAACTTCTTTAAAAAGGCAAGGTGAAACCTTATATTTATCTGCCTGATTTCTGAGAAATAGAAAACCATATATGCACCTCTGACAAAAAATGTCTTTAAGCTCTGCTTGCCAAATTAACTAAAATAATTAGTACTTTTTATTCATTTTGTGATATAAAATATTCTGCATCTAAGTGTGTAAGATTCCACAGTATTACTAAGTATTCCAAAAGTTTACTTCTGAAGAGTTGACCACTGGGAGTTTCCTAATAAAAATATTATAAACAGAGCCTAAGCTCGCAGGTCAGCTCAGAATAGCCAATCTAATACAAAAAGCAAAATACTAAGAACACAATCTCAACTAAACCAAACTATGGTTTTGCTATTTCAAAAGAAAAACACACCTGGGCTCCAATTGCAAATAAAGTAGCAAAGGAGATACGGAAAAGAATATGAACATAGGTGACAAAGGTAGCTGACCCTCTTCTCATTACGCATCAGCCTTTCCCCTTCACCTCTTCACCACATTCAGTATAGTACAGTTTTGTAACTTGCAGGCTAATGATTTTCACTTTAAGAATGCCTGAGTTTACAAACACAGTAGTATTGTCCTTCAAAGTCCATTCCCCTGGGAAACCTGATTTCAATAATGTTGTTATTGCTCTAAAAATGCCTGAAGTTTTTTAAAAACATAAGGCCACTTTGCAAGTCCTTCTAGAAAAGCCAGTAACTATCTTACATGTATACTTCACACCTACCAATACTGCTACTGTCCAGAAGGTAATCAAATGAGTCAGTTCCAAATGACTTTGGTGAATATAATTTTTGCTGAAAGCCCACAACAATAGTTCTTAAAATTTTATTTTACATAATTAAAGAAAGAACATTTCCAGGGAAGTTAACATTACTACTTTTCACAAACAGTCCATTTGGTTATAGACATTTTTTTAATGTTAAAAAGAACAGGTGCGGTGGCTCACGCCTGTAATCCCAACACTTTGGGAGGCTGAGGCAGGTGGAATCACCTGAGCTCAGGAGTTTGAGACCAGCCTGGCCAACATGGTGAAACCCCGTCTCTACTAAAAAAATACAAGAAATTAGCTAGGTGAGGTGGCAGATGCCTATAATCCCAGCTACTCGGAAGGCTAAGGCAGGTGAATCACTTGAACCTTGGGGGCGGAGGTTGTAGTGAGCCAAGATCACGCCACCACACTCCAGACTGGACAACAGAGCGAGACTCTGTCTCAAAATAAAATAACAAAATACTAAAATAAAAAAAAACAAGAATAGTGAGGCCGAAGTGGGAAGATCACTTGAGCCCGGGAGTTCTAGACCAGTCTGGGCAAAACAGTGAGACCTCCACTTCTATTTAAACAAACACAAAAACAAAAAAACCATTGCTTTATAGTCAAACCTCATATAAAAACTTAACACTCAAGTTCATCAAATGTTACTTTTATTTATGTGTGGTTTATTGTATGTCAATTATACTTGAATAAGGCTTTAAAAATAAGTCTAGCTTTGCATCTTTAAAAATGTTAATAAAGATAGAAAATATCTATCAAATAAATCAATAGTACGAAATATTATGACTTAAGATATTTCAAGGGATTTCAACTTTACCTTGAAAGATGAGTAATATCGTATTAGGCAGGAGACCTTTCTAGGCCAGGAAATGCCAAGGTCTCAAAACGAAATAAGATGTGTTGAGGGCAATGATCATACAAAAACCAGGCCACAGTCTACCGGCAGGAAGAGCTAGACTAGGCAGTCTATAAATATTACCCTGTAACCTTGAAGAGCCACTGTATGTTTCTGAGACATCTCAGAAAACACTGAACAAACAGCAGCAACAGACACTGGAGTCTGGAAGTGATATGCAGAAACCAGAGTCTAGACTGGTGTGGGGACAGAGAGAACTGAAAGGGAGACATTTTAAAGGATTTGTTAACAAACAGATAAGCGGTCATAAAATTACAACAGATCCTGGCACCTACCTGAGTAAGCTCATAGGCTCTGTAAGCCAAAAGTGATGTAATTCGATTGGCATTCTTCGACACATGACATTCATGCTTTGGTGTGGGGTCCAAAGCACTTTTATTTAACATAGATTCCAAATTTTTCACACCCATGGGGTCATATATACTCTTTATTTTACCCTAAAATAGAGAAAACCTTTTAAGTGTCTACCTAAACCTAATTGTTGACTATATAACATTAATATTATAAAATACTTCTTTGAATATAGATCAACTATACCAACCATTTTTTCCCTTCAATATCTCACAGAACAGGTGGGCGCCAAGGCAGGCGGATCACCTGGAGTCAGGAGTTTGAGACTAGCCTGGCCAACATGACGAAACTCTGTCTCTACTAAAAATACAAAAATCAGCAGCACATGGTGGTGCACACCCTGTAATCCCAGCTACTCAGGAGGCTATGGCAGGCAGAACTGCTTGAACCTGGGAGGCGGAGGTTGCAGTGAGCTGGGATTGTGCCACTGCACTCCAGCCTGGGTGACAGAGTGAGACTCTGTCTCCAAAAAATAAATAAAATAATATCTCACAGAACACTTTTACCAAATTTGAAGCAGTAAGAAAAAGTTAATCACTAAAAAAAAATCATTTGAACTTGTTTAATAACAAGTAAATATAAACTCCATTCATAATACTCTCCACTAACATAAATTATATTACCAACATATTACTCTCTACATTCCTTTCTTTGGAAAGGAAAACAAACTCTTAAGAATGGTTAGCTTAGATCAAAGATGGCAAACAGGCCGGGCACAGTGGCTCATGCCTGTAATCCCAGCACTTTGGGAGGCCAAGGCGGGTGGGATCACGATGTCAGGAGATCAAGACCATCCTGGCTAACACAGTGAAACCCCGTGTCTACTGAAAATACAAAAAATTAGCCAGGCGTGGTGGCGGGCACCTGTAGTCCTAGCTACTAGGGAGGCTGAGGCAGGAGAATGGCATGAACCCAGGAGGCGGAGCTTGCAATACGCCACGATGGTGCCACTGCACTCCATCCAGCCTGGGTGACAGAGCGAGACTCCGTCTCAAAAAACAAAAAACAACACACACACACAAAAGATGGCAAATAAACCATTTTCAAAAGAATCTTTAACTACCAAACACTAGCAAGCATGAACTTTTAAACAATCTTCTAAAGACTTAGCATCATCTAAAAATTAAAATCCAAATCAAGTGTAGTTTTTCATCTATGAAATGTGTAAGTTTAAATTACCTTCATTATTTTAAAAATAACAACATCACCCATTGCCCCCGTGTCCAAAGGATTCGCTTGTAATAAATCAGCATACCTAGAAAGATAGACACCTAGAAAAGTGGGAAAAATTAAGGAAACTGATTATATTTTTCAAAATCACTAGGACTAAAGACATTTTTAAAAAGCTATCCTTGATCAATTTGAAGTGTGCAGAAAGTCAGAAACAAAAGATAAAACTGATCTTACATTTCAGAACCTATGAGTAGTCTCTTTTTCTGGAAACATAATAAAGCATGAATTTAATAACAACTGCAGTGAAATTACATGAGATAATATATTTTTAGACAGCAACTTAATAGTAGATATTTATATTTAAAAAGAAAAAAAGATTACCCATGGAAGGACTGCCAAGAATTGTTATTTTGGACTGACCCACATGTAATCCTTTTTCACATATGCTTTGAACCTAAATTAAAAAAAAATTACTTCATCTTGCAGTCATAATAACATTTAAAACATGAGAAAATAATTTTATAAACTTGTTTTAAATAAAAACAAAGCTTCTAAACCACATATCATTCTAAATCACAGAAAACTTATATATTTGCCACTTTATAAATATTAATGTAAAACTGACTTACACTTCTCAAAGTAACCATATCTAGAATCCATTTTTCTTTGTTTAATTTTTTTTAGAGACGGGGTCTCCATCTGCCCCCTAGGCTGGAGTGCAGTGGCATGACCTTGAACTCCTTGGCTCAAGTGATTCTCCCACCTCAACCTCCTGAGTAACTAGGCCTACAAATGCGTGCCATCATGCCTGGCTAGTTTTCAATCATTTTTCTTTATGCCAAGGGTGACAGATACTCTTAACTCCTGCCACTCAATACATACAACCATTACTTTTCAAAGAGAATTAGAAACAGCAAAATATTATTCCACCTAAATATCTTCAATTAAAAGGGGAAAAAACAGACCAGACACAGTGGCTCATGCCTGTAATAATAGCACTTTGGGAGGCCAAGGCAGGCAGATCACTCGAGGTCAGGAGTTCAAGACCAGCCTGGCCAACATGGGGAAACCCCAACTCTACTAAAAACACACAAAAAAATTAGCCAGGTGCAGGGGCGCATCCTGTAATCCCAGCTACTCGGGAGGCTGAGGCACAAGAGTCACTTGTACCTGGGAGGAGGCTGCAGTGAGTGGGCCGAGATCACACCATTTCACTCCAGCCTGAGCTATCGGACAGAGTGAGACTCCATTTCAAAAAAAAAAAAAAAAGGAAAAATGGTTCCAGGCACACATAATCAACAATATAGAAGATAATCTCACATATAATCAACAATATAGAAGACAATCTTTTTAATAAAGAGAAAAGGCCGGATGGTGGTGGCTCACACCTGTAATCCCAGCACTTTGGGAGGCTGAGGTGGATGGATCACGAGGTCAGGAGTTCAAGAGCAGCCTGGCCAACATGGTGATACCCCATCTCTACTAAAAATACAAAAATCAGCCAGGCCTCATGGGGTATATCTGTAATCCCAGCTACTTGGGAGGCTGAGGAAGGAGAATCGCTTGAACTCAGGAGACAGAAGTTACAGTGAGCCAAGATCATGCTACTGTACTCCAGGCTGGGTAACAGAGCAAGACTCCATCTCAGAAAAAAAAATAAATAAATAAAGAGAAAAGTATTATTATCAAGCACATTCTAGGGTAAGAAAATAGGACTGGTCAGAGAAAAAATTGAGTACATTTGAAAAACAAATTACAAACAATAAACATTTTGCCCCCTTAAATCATGCATTCCACTTATATTTCAAAAAAAGTCTATAATTGTCAAGTATATTGTTGAATAATCACAAAATTAGTAACTTACAATGGAAACAACCTCAAATTGTTTTTTATAAAATGCATTAACTCACCTGGTATCGATCAACCATCAGAAATGCATAGGATTCTGAAAGTTCCTTATCTAAGCGACCATCAAACTTCAGTTCTCTTCGCTTTTCTGTAAACTAAATGGAATTAAATTTATAACAACGCCTTAGCATGTGATTATGTTTTTCAAGCTACAAGTTTTATTTTTTTCCCCAAGAAATCTCATACCTTCCAAAATAAAAAAAAAAATCTCTATCGCTCTATACTCTCTGTCCTTCAGTTTTTCCCCTATTTTAACTGGCTCTTTATATATATTAATATAGTCAAATAAACATCTAATGTTCATCAATCTTTAAATTTCTCTTATAATTTTTTTTTGAGACGGAGTCTCGCTCTGCCGCCCAGGCTGGAGGTGCAGTGGCCGATCTCGGCTCACTGCAAGCTCCGACTCCCAGGTTCACGCCATTCTCCTGCCTCAGCCTCCCGATTAGCTGGGACTACAGGCACCCACCACCACACTCGGCTAATTTCTTGTTTTTTTTTTTTTGGAGACACAGGGTTTCACCATGTTAGCCAGGATGGTCTCAATCTCCTGACCTTGTGATCCACCTGCCTTGGCCTCCCAAATCACTGGGATTACAGGCATAAGCCACCGCGCCCGGCCTAATTTCTCTTATAATTTTACCACATTACAACTCTCCCACAGATTATAAATTAATGCTTTAGTTATCTTTGTATCTCCCATTTACTTAACATGGTACACTGCATCCAATAGGTGGTTTAATAAATCTGAATGACCAACTTTTAGACTATAAACTCAGTTAGGACAAGAAAAATGCTTCTTTTCTCTGTAACTGTATTCTCAATGCCAAGCACATAAGATGTGCTCCATAAATATTTACAGGATGGAAGAGTGACTTCATCTTAGTCGTCGGAACTGTAAGTTATCCTAAACTGCTGGCTTTCCTATCTATAAAACAGATATACATTTAAAATATAAAATATCTAACACTTTATATTCAGGCTATTACTGCTCTTCAATAACATAACTAATGAATCTTCAGACTAAATTTTCACATAAAATTAACAAATAATCGCTATCATACCATGAAGCCACATCAATTCAAACTACTAAGATTTTAATTTTCTCTGGGATTCAGTAATACTAGTGCCCTTTAGGGAACCTTTCAAAATTAAATCCTGGTATCCCTTGGTTAACCAACTTGCAAAAATAAAAAATTCATATTTCAGGCCCATCAGAAAGCATTATGCATCAAATATTTCAAAACATCTACACATGCTGGCTTTTCCTAAATCAAAACTCAAATATTCTAATTTGTACAGGAAACTTAAGTTCACTGTCTCACATGCTTAATTGTTCCTCTTTGTTTGAACTTTTTCACTAAGAATATCCACTAATGATAAAATCATCATATAGCCACCAGGCAATAATTGTGGAAAAAATTAAGCATGTCCTAAAACCGAATACACCCACATATTTGATTTCATTAATTACCTTCCAATTTAGGCATTTAATTAACATGTACAATACTCAAAAAGAGCAAAAAGCCCTACGAATTCAGTTTATTTATTTACTTATTTATCTGAGACAGAGTTCTTGTTCTATCACCCAAGCTTGAGTGCAGTGGCACAATCTCGGCTCACTGAAACCTCATGGGTTCAAGCAATTCTTGTGCCTCAGCCTCCCAAGAAGCTGGATTACAGGCATATGCCACCATGCCTAGCTAATTATTATAGAGTCAGGTTTCACCACATTGGACAGGCTGGTCTCAAACTCCTGGCCTCAAGCAACCTGTCCACCCGAGCCTCCCAAAGTGCTGGGATTACAGGCATGAGCCACAATGCTCAGTTGAATTTACAATTAAACCATTAGCTAGTAAGCTATCGCTATACTTAAGATTTCCAGTTAAAAAGTTATTTTATACAATTGCTATTAATAACAATTTAACATAGCAGATAAATGTAATGCTACAGCAACATTTGGTGGGAAAAAGAGATGTCATTTAAAACTTGTTTTCCCAATTAGGCAGGCATGGTGGCACAGGCCTGTAATCCTAGCTACTCTGGAGGCCGAGGCAGAATTGCTTGAACCGGGGAGGTGGAGGTTGCAGTAAGCGGAGATCGCGCCACTGCACTCCAGCCTGGGCAACAAGAGTGAAACTCCATCTCAAAAAAAAAAAAAAAAAAAAAAACAACAACAACAACTTGTTTTCCCTTTGTAATTTGGTTTTCCTAAAAGTTTTAGTATTTCTAGAGAAAATTTTTTTCCCAGGCTGTTAACTGGTTCTGAAAACAATCTTACAGTAAGTATAATTTAAAACATACCTCCTTTTCCAAAAGCTCATTGTGTATCAAGCAAGCACGTCTGTAGTTAAAATTTGTTACTGAGGTTGGTTCAAGGTAAGAAGAATGGAGAATATTTACAACATCTTCAAATTCTCGAGAGCCTGGAGTTAATGGCTGGAAAAGTGCTAAAATAAAAAAAAATTAAAAAAACATTTAAAATGTTTAACATTACTCCATCTTAAATATAGCTTCTTATATTTTTGTGGACTAATGTAACCTTAAACACGAAAAAAGGCATGAAGGCTATCTTACTTTGTGATATGCAAAAGCGATACTAACTCATTGAAAAAAATGTAAAACTAGTTGCCTACATATACCAGTTCCTTCAACAATGAGGATCTGGCATTACATACACAGACAAGGAAGCTGCAACTTTGCCAACCTTAGGCATGCTACATCAGGCAACCTAAATCGCTTAAAGACTCTTATAAGAATCTGTGTTTATACTCAACTTGTCTCAGCTCCTATTTTATGTTACACTGAAGTATGTCTCAGATTGTGTATTTCCGCAAACTAAATACCTATATCATATATGACAGCATAAAAACATTTAAGACATTATGTGAAGTAACAAATTATATGCTGTTACTGACACACTGGTCTTTAAGAAAAAAAGGCTTGGTGGCTCATGATTGTAATTCCAGCTCTTTGGGAGGCCAAGACAGCAAGACTGCTTGAGCTCAGGAGTTCGAGAGTAGCCTGGGCGACATAGTGAGACCCTGTCTTCACAAACCACTAAAAAAAAAAAAAAAATTAGCCAGGCATAGTGGTGCATGCCTGTAGTCCCAGCTACTTAGGAGGCCGAGGCAGGAGGATCCTTTGAGCCCAGGAGTTCAAGGATGCAGTGAGCCATGTTCATGCCACTGCACTCCAGCCTGGGAGACAGAGCAAGACCCTGTCTCAAAAATAAAAATAAAAAATAAAATGCTGCATTCACGTGGCTTCTTGTATAATCCATAAAAAGTAGTAGAACATTTATTATGACAACTTAGTAAAATGAAAACATGTCAGGCTTTGGAGTCAAACCTGGACACAAATACCAAACCCAGCATTACTGGCTTGGAATAAGATGCAGGTAAATAAATTACTTGTATAGCTCAGCTCTCTCATATGTAAAACAGCAAACTCCAGCAGCCCTAATAACCACTATATGCCACACGCCATACATAAGACAACACGTGGAAAAAGCTCTAAACATAGCATCCAACACATAGTAGGATATTAAGGTTATTTTTTTGTTTTTGAGACGGAGTCTTGCTCTGTCACCCAGGCTGGAGCGTTGTGGTGCAATCCTGGATCACTGTAAACTCCACCCCCTGGGTTCATACCATTCTCCTGCCTCAGCCTCCCGAGTAGCTGGAACTACAGGCACCCGCCACCACGCCCAGCTAATTTTTTTTCTTTTTTTTTGTATTTTTAGTAGAGATGGGGTCTCACAGTGTTAGCCAGAATGGTCTCAACCCCATGACCTCGTGATCCGCCTGCCTCAGCCTCCCAAAGTGCTGGGATTACAGGCATGAACCACCGCGCCTGGCCAGGACATTAAGTTTTTATTCTCCACATCCCCAACCATTCTACATCCTACTGAATTTTTTTTTTTTTTGAGATGGAGTTTTGCTCATCACCCAGGCTGGAGTGCAGTGGCGCGATCTCAGTTCACTGCAACCTCCGTGCCTCCCAGGTTCAAGTGATTCTCCTGCCTCAGCCTCCCAAGTAGCTGGGATTACAGACACCTGCTACCACGCCCAGCTAATTTTTAGATTTTTAGTAGATATGGGGTTTCACCATGTTGGCCAGGCTGGTCTCAAACTCCTGACCTCAGGTAATCCACCTGCCTCAGCCGCCCTAAGCGTTGGGATTATGGGCGTGAGCCACTGCACCCGGCCCCCACTTAATTTTTAAAATATTTAAGTCAAATATCCAATTAGTTCTTGAGAATTACTGGTCTATTAACCTCGAATTTCCATCTTATGTACAAAATACTTTAATTTACTAATACAAGTCTATACATATACATATTTCCCCAAATCAAAAAGGAACCACTTTTCACTGTAGAGAGAACTACTCATAGAAACTATGTTATTCTCTATTACCTTAATTTCTTTCAAGACACTATTTAATAAGGGTCAACAAATGTCACAGTCAAAACAGGTCACTACTGAAAACATAATGTTCCACTTTTACATACTCCTAAAGGTAACAGATGCAGCGAACTTTTGTCTTTTCTATATATGATTATTAGACTTTAAAGGACATGTCAAATGACAGAGCCATTCATCCACTCATTTACCAACCATGTCTATATTACAGAAGTTACTATAAAAACACAGTTTTCAATGGCACAATGTGTACAAACAAATGGTTACCACTATTTTGGAACTGCACACTAAAAAAATAGACAACACAGTTATAGTAATGCAACTAGTAAACAGGAGTAAGCTCCAACAAGTACTCAAATAGAACAAGACTACTCAACACAAAGTGTACTGTAATCAAACTTGTAGCAGACGAATATGTTCAGTAACCTATTGATTGCAAGCTCCATGAGAGCAGGAACTGTATCTGCCTTGCTCATTACTCATCTTTCCTGTATTCCAGTAGCTAGACCTGTGAGTGCTAGCCCTAAAAATATTGAACAGTCAAGTGAAGAAAATGAGAAATTTTGTCAAGTTTTAAAAATGGTAACAATATATTCTACTACTAAATGACTGCTATTTAAAATTAAGACTCATTCGCAAATTCAACAATTCAGTAACATACAAAACACAAATGAAAGCTCAGAAGAGGGTAGGAGGCATACATTGTCTTCATTCAAACCTGTGTTACGGAATGTAGGACAAAAACATCTTATCTTTGTGATGACTGTCCCCAATTAAACTGTGAAAAACTTGGCAAGGAACGCAGCATATGGAGGTCTTTATAGCTTTCACATCTAAAGTGGGCCAAGCATGATTGTAAAAGCTGGGTTAAATTTACATGATTTTGTTTCTAAACAAAATGACTTCGGATATCTAAAATTTACACAAAAAAAGATATCACATGGCTGCCAATTTCTATGAAATTTTATAGTCTACATAGATTTTCATTAGTTAAGCTACCCAATACAATTTATACCATTAATCTAATCATAAGTAAAAAATTAGTCAAATCATAAATCTGCATAAAAGTTCACATCCAAATTATTCTCAAAGTACTTAACATTTCCAGTTCACTCTAAAGCAATGTCCAAGAGTCATGTCCAATGTACTAAAAATGACAGCTGACAGGAAAAAAATTTTTTAAATGCAAAGAAAAAAGCATTTTAGCTCTAACAATAAATATCTGTATCCTAATGATTTTGTTTTGTAAATGCCTCAGTGGCTTCGTTAGGCCGGTTATAATTTCTCATTTTTTCTGGTGATAATTTCCAAAATAATAAAATTACCCTGCAACTATTTTTAAGGATTTCAAGTCAACTTGCTGGTAATAGCAGTTCAGAAAATTTATTAAGTTCATCTTCTGAATGTACATTCTCTGGTAGTCTATTTTATGTCCTCAGAGGTCATTTAACACTACATGTATCTTGATCAATGTGTCTTGTCACTCCTTTTAAAGAAAATACTTAAGTCAAAAATCTCAATTATGGGTCACTATTTGAGGTAGTAATAAACAACCCTGTGTCTATCCAAACAGGGAAAGCATTATATATATGAACCATCCATTTCACTCAGGGAACTCAGTATTCAACATACTGTTCTCTAGATTATGACAGTTACTGTCTAACCATTAGTGGTTAAGTACCACCTTCAATACTGTACTAAGAGCTTTACATGTATCATTTCAATCATCCAAACTATGCTATGAAGTTCAACATGCCCATTTCTCAGTTGAAACTGGGACAAGTAGCCTTTGAGTTGGCCCAAGGTTACAGGATTAACGAATGGATCAAGCTGCTGGGATTCAAATTCAAGTGATCAGGCTCCCTATCTTGTATCCTGAAATATATGACGTGCGTGTGTGTGTTAATATTAGACGTACAATATCCAATCATGTCAAAGGCTGGAAAAATGACTGTTTCCTCATTTTATAGACCATAAATCATATAGAATACTTAGGCACAGGAAGTTGGCTATAAAAGAACAAAGAATTTGGTTCTAATATTGCTCTTTCTACCCTTATATCCTCTCTCAAATCTCTTAATTTTTTCTGATTTTAATCTTCCTCTAGAGATAACAGGGGAAGAGTTGTAACGCCCTTTGTTTTATAAAGGTTAACAGCAGTAGCAATAGAGGCTCTTTCACACATTAAGAAATGTGTAATTTTTGCTTATTTAATGGATTTCCATTAAATGCCTGTCAGAAAAACAGCTGAGTTGATTACTGATCATACTAGGTTTCCCTATTGACAAACTAATTATAGATGTATTTTATGAGACTGAAGAGCACAGATTTAGAAGGGCACTTGGAGATTTATAATTTAAATGAGGAAACTGACAGTAACATAGAATGTAAACTGGAATTCAAATTTCCTGACTCTTAGCCATACTATCATCAAATATTTTTTATTAGTAGCATCACAGAAAACATACTCAAATTTTTTTTTTTTTTTTTTTTGAGATGGAGTCCCGCACTGTTGCCCGGGCTGGAGTGCAGTGGCGCGATCTCAGCTCACTGCAACCTCCACTTTCTGGGTTCAAGTGATTCTCCTGCCTCAGCCTCCTGAGTAACTGGGATTTCAGGAGCCCGCCACCAGGCCCGGCTAATTTTTTGTATTTTTAGGAGAGACGGGGTTTTACCACGTTGGCCAGGCTGGTCTCAAACTCCTGACCTCGTGATTCGCCCACATTGGCTTCTCAAAGTGCTGGGATTACAGACATGATCCACCATGCCTGGCCCACACTCAAGATTTGAAGGTTATATTTATAAAGGCAGTCAGCATAGATATATAATTTAGATCATCAAACAGCTTTGTTCCTTAATCAATTAGTTTTACCAATTTGGTGTTAAGACAGATCTTTTTGTATTATGTATATATGAATCACAAAAAATATTATCATATATATGTAAATTTTAAAAAGCTAAACTTAAAAGATGGACCATTCCTATCAAAACATATAAATGGGGCTGGGCATGGTGGCTCATGCCTATAATCCCGGCACTTTGGGAGGCCAAGAAGGGCGGATCACTTCAGGTCAGGAGTTCGAGACCAGCCTGGCCAACATGATGAAATCCCGTCTTTAAAAAGAATACAAAAACTAGCTGGGCATGGTGGTGCACGCCTGTAACCGAGCTACTCGGAGGGGGCTGAGGAAGGAGAATCCTTTGAACCTAGGAGGCAGAGGCTGCAGTGAGCCGGGATTGCAACACTGCATGCTAGCCTGGACGACAGAGGCTCTGCCTCCAGAAAAAAAAAAAAAAAAAAAAATACAAATGGGTAGTATGAACTATAAACAAACAATTGTCCGATTTAAAGTAACTAATTCATGGAAGATGACGAAATAATTAGCAAGAGGAGGCTAGGGATCTGAAATTTTCTCTGAATTCATAGCTGATGTCTAATGATTATAATACAACCACTCTCCATCCATTTCTTCTTCATAGTAAAGTCTTTTTTTAAAATCACTTTTCTTCAGTCTAAAAAAAATTACCAGACAATACTTTAGGAGTGGGTACTTCATCTCTAAATCAACAAGGTTGAACATAGCGTACAATTAGAAATGAATATGCTGGCAGGAATCAAGAGAGTACAAATACAAAACAATGTTTTTTGCACTGAGGATAGGTCAAAGTAAATTTTACCTCGATTACTTTGCTATTATGTATGGAGAGACCTATTGTTCTCAGAACCCACTCATCCATATACAACTAATGAAATACCACGGAAATTTCCTTAAGAATGAGACTTGGCTCCAATGGCTTCCAAAACGCAAGTGCAAATTTTGTGTGGGAAGATGGAGGTTAGCAGAATTAGCCATTACTTCTGGACTAAACCAGTATGGAAACTTAGTGCATGAGAGCAATTAATTTTTGAGACTCCCTTGGACCCTACAAAAACATTAACCAATAAACATTTTCCAGATAGTCAATCATCACTACTCCATTTCCCAAGAACTTTGGAGTGAAAAATTACATCAAATGCAATTACCAATTTTAATTTACTTTTTATGACTTACTAGATTTAAAGGCGGCGATAGTGAAACATCTACCAACAAAATGCAATTCTACAATTTGGTTAAATATAAGAATCATGCCTCAGCCAATAAATAATATAACATACATCAAAAACAGTAAAATGTATACCTTTCCAGTCAAAGAGGCACTTACTCTGTCAGTACCAATCAAATGTTGATAGTGAACATAATCTCTGAATGTCAAAATTCCCCAAGGACGAAAACATATTAAGTATTTCTATATTCAATAGGGGGATAAACACAGTTTTTGTTACTAACAGGTCAGATCAAAAGCAGCTTACTTAAAACCTTATTCACACTGGGTAGCAAGATTTTTCTTTTTTATAGTAGTAAAAGTACTCTACACCTATCTTCAAATTCCAGCTCCACCACTTATTAGTTGTCAACTGGGGCAAGTTACCTAACTTCTCAGTACTTTAGTCTCATCTGTAAAATGGGAATAGTACCTACCACAAAACACTGTTGAGATTTAGTCAATGTATGTAAATTGCTTAGAACAATGCCCACAACTTATTAGGCACTATACAAGTGTTTGCCAATATTATTACTCAATTACAATGGCAGTTATTTTGGATGTCATACTATTGGCAAGACCAAAGAAAGAACTTTGAGTCAACAAGTTATACTTTCATAGTAATGACCTTTAAGTTATTAAAATATTTAAGTACTAATCTTAAATTTCACTGGAAAAGCACAGTCACAAGAAAAGGTCTGCCGTATTAAAACATGAATGCAACAGAACCTTTGATACTGAAAAGTTCAAGCAGACATACCTACTGAAAACCATCTAATATTCTTGATAAAAAGACTCAGTTGACCACAACTAGTAATACCTAGCCAAATCCTATACAAAGTGATATCTTTTCCTTTAGAGCCTTCCAAGAGATGGCGTTGCAATGAAGAGTATGAAGAGTAAAACTAGCAGCACCTGTGCTGTTTATGATGCTTTTTTTTTAAAATAAAGTTGAATTTATGTATTGAATTCTATCACCAACTACTCACTTCTCTCAGCTTGAACAAGATAAAATTCACGGTGGTAAAACAGCTGCTTATTTAATTTTTTAAAGTTCTATTTAAATCGCTATTTTACTATTTGAACAGCTGGTGTTCAGGGTATAAATAATTACACAAGTTAAAAATTGCTCATTTTCACTAATCATGAAAAAGCCCACTGCGATATATTTTCCTTACAACTTTTGTCTCTCACGTAAAAATGGAAAATACAAGTTTTACCCAAGAGGTACAAGACTATGGGGGACAACAGCAAGGTTTGTATTTCCTAATCCCTCAATTATTTCCACTTTTAGTGTGTTCAACTGAAGTCTATTTTACAACAATCTCTGGGTTTTATTTAAAAAACACACAAACACAGTGCCTTTCTAGTTCCTACTGCCTTCCCACATTTCAAACTAAATTTTAAGTTTCTAGGCCAATTTTCTGGTCCTAACAGTAAAAAAATATATATATATCGTGGTTTGTCCATATTCTTAGGCACTTAAACCTTAAAAAAAAAAAAGACTCCAACCGACTTTTATCAAGCTGTGAAGAAAAAAATAGTTCCACCTCCTACCTCATAACCAGAGCCCATTTGAATGTACTTCCAACCTATTCTCTACCAACTGATTCACTGGGAACTTTTCTCATATAGACTATAATCATACACCTCAAATCTTAACTAAATACACCAAAAAAACTGACAGTCTTGACCTTTAAAAGTATCTTTCTGAACCCTAAACTACATTAACTCAAAAGATATTTCTAGAAACATTCCTCATGCTAACTTCCAAAGGTTAACTTCATCTTTGTCAACACGGTTTCTTACACCAAGTATTTTCTTGGCTTTGCCATTCAAACAGAAATGAACTTTATTTGTACTTTCCCAATAAAAGGCTCAAACAATTCCAGTAGTGCAAATGGAACTGGTGATGCTTATGGAAAGTCAGTGTAAGGCTACAGCCAAGATTCTATAATCAAATAAATGGAAAAGCTTTCTATACGGGAAAAAACCAAATCCTATTATTTTCCAAAGTAAATAATGAAAACCTAACCACACAGTAGGGCAAAAAGGAAGTTGTCTAAATCCAGAATATCCAAAATTTACTGGATAGTTAAAAAATTATACCCCAATAACAAAAAACAATACTAATTTTTATGTCCATTAGGAATTCTGACTCCATATTAACAATATGGCATTAAGATTTTTTAAAGGCACAAGTAATTAATGTAACTGTTTCCATATGGGTTCCAAAAACTTAAGACTAGACTTTTTTCTAATCTGAAGTTCTACCATCTAGAAGACCAACTTGGTGACTCTTGAGGATAAGGTAACTTCTCATTAATCTTTTTCCATTGGGAAATTACTGCGCCAAGAACCTACCTTGCCATTCTTTTCAAATATAAGAATAACAATACTAAATTCAAATTTAAAGAGAGACAGACCTATTTAACGCTTCAAAAACAAGGGGGAAAAATCTAAATGGAAATGAAGTGTGATGGAAAATAGCAGTGTGCATGGATCACATCTACTAATAGAGATTTCTAAATAAGGGAGGACGCTGACATCAAGCACATTTCAAGTAGGCACACAGAGCTGAAGAATTTCCACGGGGAGAAGCACTCATGGTCCTCAGAACATTGGCAATGGCCTTGGAGAAAGCCCCAGAATCCATGGCCACGGGCTATTTCCATAGCGAGACTTCTCAGAAGCATCCTTAGGAGGACACAACAGCTTCTCTGCCTTCGGGGGCTGGGAGGGAGGGGCGCCGAGCACCATCTTTCCTCTCTGGGAGCTGCAGCCTTACGGACAAGCTTCAAACCTGAGCTACTTCCAACTTCCGCGGGGAGGGGCAGCAGGGGAGCGTGGTTCCACCGCTTTCTCTCGCACCAAGCGCGGCAGCTGGGCGGCCGTGGCGGTGAGGGGAAAGGCGGCCGGCGCTGCATGCGTGTTTACGTATCTCAGATGGGTGTGGGAAGAGGAGACAGAAAGGTTCTAATGAAAAGATGGAGGGAAGAGAGAGGGGGTTGAGAAGAAGGGGAGGCACCACCTTTCTTTTCTCTGCTCTTCCTGGGGATCTGAAAACTCCTCCTAACAGGCCTTTCCGGCTCTTCGGGGCCTCTGAGCAGGGCGGCCGCGCCCGCCTCAGAGGAGTCCTGAGGCTGCTCGTGGCTGAAGCTCTGGGCGGCCTCGGCCCCCGCGGTCTCCTCAGGCCCAGCGCCGCCGCCGGGCTCAGCGATGTTGAGGCCGCCGCCGCCGCCATTTTGTGGGGAGGACTCAAGCTCCGGAAGCGCCTGCTTCATCTCGTCGTCTCCGCCGCCGCCACTTTCACAGCTCGCATCCGTCGGCTGCGAGGCCTCCGTCTCCACAGCAGTCGCCATCGCGCCGGCGTAAGGAGCTCTGGGAAGCTTCTGCCCACAAGGTCGACGGGTGTGGGGGGAAGGGGCGGCGGGCCAGCCTCGCCGCCGAACTGCTCTTAGCCCACCCACCCCCTTCCCCCCGTGGTCTCAGGCTGCACTCCGACCCGGCAGCCTCTTGGGGGCCCCGAAGCGGGCACCCCAACTGTGCTGCCCAGCCCTCGGAGCCGCTCCTCGCTCGGGCAGTTCTTCTGCCTTCCCCCGCCACTCAACGTGCGCGCGTCGGGGCCGGGAGGGGGCGGGGCCACCGCGGGCCACTCTACCAATGGGAGCGCGTCACCCGCCTCCGCGAGTGCGGATATACCGCGCCGGGGGCGGAGTTTCGAGGCGCCCGAGCCCGCCAAAAGGGGCGACTGCCACGCCCGGCGAGGGCCTCGACGCCGCAGCCGTGGCCTGCAGAATGTGTGGGCCCCTGGCGATTCTCGGGTTCCCGGCGATGCCGCGCTGGCGATCCTCGGGTTCCCGGGGATACCCCGCCGCGCTGCAGGCGAGGGAGACGGGCTTGGCCTTGTCTCCGGAGCGCAGGGGTGGCCCATTTGTGGGCAAGAACTTTCCTCAGTGTACGAGTTATCTCGGCCCAAACGGGCTTCAGCGCATAGATGCGGGACGATCTCGGCTTTATGAACTATTTGCATGTGTACAGAGACCTGGAGAGGAAATAAGAGAATGGGCTACGCAATAATAGCCTAAAAGCGTCCGGCCTCTGCGACCTGCTGTTCTCACCGGATCTTGTATCTTTATGATAGATGACTCGCACCCGGCCTTCTATTTTATCTCAAAGGGTGTGACCCAGTGTCACAGCGCCAGCAAGCACTTTAACCTGAGATCCTCTGATGGTACTTAACAACCTAGTGTTAACAGGATTTGGTTCTGGGGAGTTTGAGAGGAGGAGGCTGTTAACTTTTACCATTTTTCTTTGGTCGCACCCCCCCTCCACGTTTTCCTATATTAAATGTATATTAAAGAAAAAATAAACTTGCGGTTACATTAAAAAATATACAGCAGGTGGTCGCTGTCCCATAAAGGGAATAACTTCATAGTGAAGAACCGTTTGCATAGTAATTTCTACCTTGTCAGTATAAACTATCATGGGTTATCGTGAGTACAGGCAATATTTACTGAGTGCTTTCTATGTGCTAGACACTGACTGGACAAGTGATTTACGTGCATTATCTCCATTTAATCCTCACAGCAACAGATATGAGGGAGATACTGTTTTGCACAATTTAAAATAAGCGTTGCAAGACAGGGGACAAATTATGGTAACAAAACCAAGATTTGAAACCAGGTCTATTTAACTCTCCCAGTAAGTACTTAAGCACTGCACTGACTGCTTCTCTAAGGCCTAATTTTCACAGCAGCTGTGCACTTTTTTTCATTTTATGCACGAAGCAACAGAGGGCTGACATTTTGCTGAGGGTCGCCAAGCAGCAGGATCAGGTTTGAGACCCAGATCTCTAATCCCAAACTACCTCCCAAGGAGTTTACAGACCAAATTATTCATAATAATAATTATGAATAATTAGGCTTAAAGAGCATTCCCAAGGGCAACACGAAAGTTGGATTCCTTTGTCCTCTAATAAATATTACCACTGTTTAACAGCTGATATTAAAAAAAAAATTAATCATGAATTGCCAACCTATTGCAATCAATTTAGTAAATCATACGAAAGAGAGTATAAATCCATTATTAGTAAATAGTTTAAAAACACATTTTAGGCCAGGCGCAGTGGCTCATGCCTGTAATTCCAGCACTTTGGGAGGCCGAGGCGGGCGGGTCACCTGAGGTCTGGGGTTCCAGATCAGTCTGGCCAACAGTGAAACCCCATCTCTACTAGAAATACAAAAATTAGCCGGGCATGGTAGCACATGCCTATAATCCCAGCTACTCGGGAGGCTGAGGCATGATAATCACTTGAACCCGGGAGGCGGAGGTTGCACTGACCTGAGATGGCACCATTGCATTCCACCCTGGGCTGAGACTTTGTCTCAAAACATATACACACATTTTAAAATATGTTTAAATGAAAAACTGAGGTCTAGGTTGAGGGGAAAATGCTACATTATTTTAAGTAATTTTTTTTTAATTGGGGGAGGCGCTTTACTTGATTTAAAAAAGAGTACAGAAGATCAGAAATTCACATTGCAGTCCCAAATTGGTAACTCGCTTTTTTGTTGATTCATTGAAGGTATACCTAAAAGCTCATTTTTATCAAATTCAAAACTAAGAACTAATTGCAGCCAGGTGTGGCTCACGTCAAAATCCCACTTTGGGAGGTAGAGGCAAGAGAATCACTTGAGCCCAGGAGTTCAAGACCAGCCTGGGCAATACAGTGAGACCCTGTCTCTATTAAAACAAACAAACAAAACAACTAATTGTATACTAATGCCACCACTCATCCACTCAAGAAAAGGCAACTCTACTTGGAAGCTCCTAGGCTATGCATAAAGCACCACAGGTTGTTAGTAAAGAGTACCTAAAACTAAGGCTAGACAGAATCATTAGCCCTCCACAGAGGTTGAATCTTAAATTTTGTGAAGATAAAAATTGCTTCCCATTCCAAATCAACATTTATTTAAAAAAAAAAAAAGTTTAGTGAAATTTGGCTGGGTGTGGCGACTGACACCTGTCATCCCAGCACTTTGGGAGTCAAGGGTAGAGGATCACTTGAGCCTAGGAGTTCAAGACCAGCCTTCACAATATGGTGAGACTCTGTCTCTGTTTTTAAAAACAATAATAATAATCCCAGCACTTTGGGAGGCCGAGGCAGGTGGACTTGAGGTCAGGAGTTTGAGATCAGCCTGGCCACCATGGTAAAACCCTGTCTCTACTAAAAATTTAAAAGTTAAGGCCGGGGGCAGTGGCTCACGCTTGTAATCCCAGCACTTTGAGAGGCTGAGGCGGGCAGATCACGAGGTCAGGAGTTCGAGACCAGCCTGGCCAACACAGTGAAACCCCGTCTCTACTAAAAATACAAAAATTAGCTGGGCATGGGGGCGGGTACCTGTAATCCCAGCTACTCAGGAGGCTGAGGCAGGAGAATCGCTTAAACTCGGGAGGCAGAGGTTGCAGTGAGCCGAGATCGTGCCACTGCACTCCAGCCTGGGCAACAGAGCTAGACTCCATCTCAAAAAAAATAAATAAATAATTAGCTGGGCATGGTGGTACATGCCTATAATCCCAGGTACTCAGGAGGCTAAGGCAGGAGAATCACTTGAACCTGGGAGGTGGAGGTTGCAGTGAGCAGAGATCGCGCCACCACACTCCAGCCTGGGTGACAGAGTGAGACTCTGTCTCAGAAATGTAAAAAAATAAAAATAGGAAAAGACAATGACCCAAGATCATATAGCAAGCTAGTAAAAAGAGTTAACATTTATTGAGTACTTTCTGTGTGTCAGACACTGTTTTTTTGTTTTGTTTTGTTTTTGAGATGGAGTTTCACTCTTGTTGTCTAGGCTGGAGTGCAATGGCATGATCTCTGCTCACCGCAACCTCCGCCTCCCGGGTTCAAGTGATTCTCCTGCCTCAGCCTCCCAAGTAGCTGGGATTACAGGCACCTACCACCATGGCCAGTTAATTTTTGTATTTTTAGTAGAGACAAGGTTTCTCTGACCATGTTGGTCAGGCTGATCTCAAACTGCCAACCTCAGGCGATCCACCCACTTCGGCCTCCCAAAGTGCTGGGATTACAGGCCTAAGTCACTGCACCCAGCCCAGACACTGTTCTAAGAGTGTTACATGTGTAGTCTCATCAATCCCCAGAGAAGGTACTAATGTTATTTCCATTTACAGATGAAAAAAACTGAGGCAGAGCAGTTAATTAACTTAATGTCATTTAGAGTGTAAGTGGCAAAACCAAGATTCTAACACAGGCAGTGTCCTCCAAAGCCCCATGCCCTTAATAACCACAATATATTAAACTTCTCTTGAAACAAAGTCCAAAACTCAGTGCATTTTCCACTATGCCATTTCATCTCCCTTCCTCAAACAGTACTTTAAAAGACAGGATATAAATAGCATAACTCAGCAGTAACTATCAATATTACTGATGCATAACCTTTTTACCTAGCAATTCTACTTCTAGAAATGTATATGGTACAGATGTACTCATTCACATTCTAAATATGTATTCAAGGATATTCTTTACAGTGTTGTTTATAATAGCAAAGGATTATAAATAACTTATCTATCAATGGGGTATGTCCATACAGTGGAATACAGCCATAAAAAGGAATGAGGCACTGATGCATGCTACAACATGAATGAACCTTGAAAACATTATGCTAAGTGAAATAAGCCAGATACAAAAGCAGTATGTTATAGAGTCTGTTAATATGGAAGTTCAAAATAGGAAATTCCATAGAAACAGAAAAATGATTGGTGGTTACCAGGGACCAGAGAGAGTGGGGAATGGGGACTGACTGCTAATGAGTACAGGGTTTCTTTCTGGGGTGATGAAAATATTCTAGAATTGGATAGTGGTGGTAATTCCACAACTTTGTGGATATATTTAAAACCATTGAACTATATACTTTATTATTTATTTGAGATGGAGTCTCACTGTGTCACCCAGACTGGAATGCAGTGGTGCCATCTTGGCTAACTGCAACCTCTGCCTCCTGGGTTCAAGTGATTCTACTGCCTCAACCTCACAAGTAGCTTGGATTACAGGTGCCTGCCACCACACCCAGCTAATTTTTGCATTTTTGGTAGAGATGAGGTTTTGCCATGTTGGCCAGGCTAGTCTCAAACTCCTGACCTCACGTGATCCACCCACCTCGGCCTCCCAAAGTGCTGGGATTACAGGCGTGAGTCACCACATCTGGCTAAACTATATACTTTAAAAAGATGAATTTTATAATATATGAATTATATCTCAAGGTGCTGGGGAGGACTACGCATTCCTTGAGGTCAGAGACTCCAAGCAGCAGAAACTCTCTCCTGTTGCTGAGTTTGAACAAATAAGCTGCCATGAGTTTTATAGCTGCCAACAACTTGAAGGAATTTGGGAGCAAACCCCTTTTGTAGTTAAGTCTCCAAGTGAGAATGCAGTCCAGCTGCATGATTTCAACCTTGTGAGACTCTGAGCACAGACCCCAGCTAAGCCATGCCTGGACTTCTGACCTGCAGAAACTGTGAGCTAATACAGTTTTGTTCTAAGCCACTAGGTTTGTGGTAAGTTGTTATGCAGTAATAGAAAACTAATACAGAGGTTACAAT